CGGAGAAGTGGTGCCTCGATGCGCACCCGGGATCCGAACCCGGGCCACCAGCATTGCAGCGCGCGCACTTAACCACCAAGCCACAGGGCCGGCCCTAAGTACTTTACATTTATTAGCTTGTTTAATAATATATGAGGCATGGATGGATGATTAAGTAACTGGCCCAAGGCCACTCAGCTAGTCAACTGATTAAGCCAGGAGTGGAACCCAAGCCGTCATTTTCAAATTCTGTGCTAATCAAACCTGAGACTAATACAACATGAAAGTATTTGGAGAGAAGATGAAAACCTGTAATGCTGAATCACAAAAGGCAGTAGACCTTGACATTTCCCCTTTAGTTTACCCAAAGATGGACATCACCTATCACCCTACAATCTAGGATATGTTCAATCTGGGGAGGAGGGAGGGTGCAAACGGCCAGAATGAAATTCCACTGACAGAGGGATCTAAGCGTGGGTTTGTACTGCCTGCATCTCCCTTTTTGGACATACTTTCTTGTCTGTCCAGTTACTTTCTTGTCTGTCCAGTTACTTTCTTGTCTGTCCAGTTTCAGGGGTGGTGCTACCAATAATCCAGCACCAGTTGCCTGAGGTTTTTTTCAGTAGTCATTCATTCAACAAATATTTGAGCATCAAGTCAGGGCCAGACACATTTTGCTAGGCCCAGAGGTGAACAAGATAGACAAGATTCCCGCTCTCTTAAAATTTACATTCCAGTGGGGAGGGCAGGGGTGGGCTGGTAGACAGGCTAGAGGGCACTGCTGGAGCGGGGTAAGCAAGGGGGAATGGAGGGAGGTTAACTCGGAGCAGCAGGCAGAATCCGGAGCAGGCGAGGCCTTCAAGCCACGCCCCAGAGGCGTTTGCATTTTATTTGCAGTAATTCAGCGCCAGTGATGGCTAGATTACCCCAGGCTGTAGACTTCCTAAACCACTTAATCCTGCCAATACAACCTTCACACCCTATACTTGTGCCTGTCGGGTCACCTGGCCACTCTGGGTCCCTTAGCCTACCAGGCCACCTCGGGCCCATCTGCCGGTCACCTAAGCCCCCGCGGTCTCCTTCCTGAGCCACCTCGACCCATCGGGGCCTGTCCGCCCGTCGGTCTCCGTTAGTGCGGGTCCCCTTGGGCCCCTCGGCCGGCCAGGTCACCTCAGTGCCACGCCTCCCAGGCCGCAGATTAGGCCTGCACGTTACGCTTTGTTCCCAGAGCAGGTTTTCGAAAAGCCGCTCCCTCTCGAGTCCAGCTGTTTTCCTGCCAGCTCAAGGAGACCCGGCAGCGGCAGCGCCCCCGGCGGCACACCGCCGTCCAGGAAGGGAGTGCCCGCCTCCGCGACCTCCGCCTCCGCCTCCTCCCGGAACGCGGGAGCGGGCGAGAGCCGCGCACGCCCGGACGGTCACCACCGCGCTCCTGATTGGCTGCGCTGCTTGACGTCACGGGGAGGGCCCCGGCGGCAGCTGGGAGCCGGGGGCTGCGCGTGCGCAGACGGAGCGTGCTGACCAGAGGGGGAGGTGGCCGGGTGCTTCTCCCGCGTCCGCCATTTTGTTGCTGTGGCTGTTGGGAACGGGCTGGGCAAAACCGCCCCGGAGGCGCGACTCTCCCTGGAGTTTAGTGCTTGGAGTGGCGGCGGAGGTCGGTGCAGAGCCGTAGGGGCGCGAGGCCGGCGCGTTCCAGGCCAGAAGTGACTGGAGCGCACCCCTGGTACGCTGGGCAGCCCGAGACCCCGGGGCGGCCTCCGCTGCGGCTCGGCTTCGCCCGCCCCGACCCCGGGCTCTGCCCCGCATTCCCCGAGCCGGCTCCCTCCGTGAGGCGACCCCGGAGCAGGCGGGCGGCGGCGGCGGGGGATGCTGCGGGCCCGGAGCCGAGAGGAAGGTGCTGGCTCGGCCTTGTAAGCGCGCCTCGAGGTGTGTCGAGGCCCTTCTTCGGCCCCAAAGCCGTTTGTCGGGCAGAGGCGACCAGAGCAGGCGAGAGCAGCCGCGCCCCGACCCGCCGCAGGGCCCCGTTCCGACACCATGTCCTCCGCCAGGTTCGACTCCTCAGACCGCTCCGCCTGGTACATGGGGCCGGTGTCGCGCCAAGAGGCACAGACCCGGCTCCAAGGTCAGCGCCACGGCGTGTTCCTGGTCCGCGACTCCTCCACCTGCCCCGGGGACTATGTGCTGTCCGTGTCCGAGAACTCGCGGGTCTCCCACTACATCATCAACTCGCTGCCCAACCGCCGTTTTAAGATCGGGGACCAGGAGTTTGACCACTTGCCCGCCCTGCTGGAGTTCTACAAGATCCATTACCTGGACACCACCACCCTCATCGAGCCCGCGCCCAGGTAGGCGCGCAGCCCACCCCGACCGCGGAGGAGGGTCGAGAAGGGCCGGGTTGGTTCGCTTGGGGTCGATCGAAGAGGGGGCGGGGGGTGTGACTGAACCTATTTGTCCCCATTCTGAACCAAATTATTTTCCAGAAGGCATTCCGAACGGAAGGCTACTGTCAGGATCTGGGTCACTGGGTGAGGGGATGCGTTTTAAACGTGCTTAACGGCGATTGCATAGTTAAAATGTACGCTTTTTGTTTTTCGTCGCGTTCTTTATTTGGTTATCATAATAAAGCAGGGTGATGGTGGTGGTGTTTTTGGGCTATAGACTTTGAGAATCTGAAGATAGCCGTGGCATCCCCCTCCCCCCAAAAATGCACGTACGCACAAGTGTGCACAGCATTCAAGGTTCTTGGACTCCCTGCAGATGTGTGCACTCCAGGTTACTGCAGATCAAGAACCCTTGGACTGCAGCCTTTGGAATAGTCGGCAAATGAAAATGCTTTAGCGTTTAAAAACAGAAACCTTTAACTCAAATTTCAACTATATATTGATACCTTGATGCCAAGTTTGAAATAAGCCAGACACCTGTTTTATAATGTATTAATTACAAAATTTTAAAAGAAGGTGCATTGGCTTCAGCGGGAACATTTTTTTGAATTTTTATTTTATAGTTTCCTCCCAAGATGGACCATTAATAGGCTAGAAATTAATTTGGTTAAATTCCAAGGAGGAGTAAGGCTAAGATGTTACTTACTAAGGGAAATTTTTGAATGACAGTTATCTTAATTCTATTCTCTTTTGTAAGTAAAATGCATTTTTTATTTGATTATTTGCTTTAATTTGTCTTAATCAGTATTCTGTCAGAGGTTTCTTTTATTTAAATTGTGCCAAATTTGAGCTGAAGAAATTGCCTAGAATTTTAAAAATAAAAAGTATTTCATTGCCTAATTTGTTTCTTAAGCATCTATTTAAATGGAGAGGATGCTAATAGAGATGTTTCAGAATGAGATGTTTCTGACTTTATAGATTTTGCTGACAAGATATAACTCTGAACTTTAAACATTGAAAGCTATTATAATTAATTATGAAGCGCCCACTGGATGCCTAAGTGTTGCTTCTGTGGAATAGATATAGAGAGGAAACAAAACCATGATATTATAATGACTGTACTAGATTAACTACTGAACTAAATGGACTTTAAAAAGTGGGAGAAAGTGATTATAAATCAAATACTGTATAACAAAGATGTAGACCCCAGGAATCTGATTGGTGAAACCTCCAGGTCCCCAAAGATGCTGGTAATTGGAGTCAACTTTGAGCACAATATAATTCCAATATAAGGGCTTGGGGAGAATCTTAGAACCCACTGTAATGAGATTTTTAATGTGTTTAAGTAAATTACTTTACTAACTTGCGGTGGTGAATGATGTCATTAATTTCAGGCATTTATTAAGCCATGTTATGTGCAGGGTATTGTGCTTTCTTTGAGGTGACAGGTACTGTAATACAGCTGTCTCAACAAGTATGAGTAAATGGCTTGATCCCCTTCTAGAAGGAGAAAAAGGGAGATGCTGCAGTGGCTTCCCAGTACCCACAAGAACGAATCCAAATTTTCCATACACTGGTCTTCCCAGGTAGCAGGCGGAACTTTCTGTCTTTGATGCGTGTCCTCGCTCCCTCTCATCCTTCCTTTACTGCAGCCTCACGAAGGCCACTCACTCAGTCCCTGGTAGCCATCCCTACACACCTCCTCACAGCTTTGTACCTTTACTCAGGCTGTTGGCTCTTCATTGACAGCGTTAACGCCACTCCACTCCTGACCAGTGAAATCCTACCTGTTGTTCCAGGCCCCTCACAAATAATAGGGCCTTTCCCTGACCCTCCCCCTCACATTCAGCTATAATTGTTTCTCCTTCTCTGTGCCTTCTGCCCGAGGCATGTGGCTGTAATTTACTTTTTAATTTTCCCTGATATCTTGGAGGGTGATCACAATGCTGGTTGAATTAGATCCTGACTTGATTTGCTTTGTTATACTGCGTCTTTGGGTTGCATCTGAATTAATGGATTTGGAGTTAATGGATTTGAATTTCAGGAAAGCCTGAGATTCATGGATTTGGTTTGAAATGTTTTTAGCCTTTGTAGAAAACTAGAGGCTAGTAAAGCCTTGGCCAAATGCAAAAATCAGTATAATGCTTCTTCACACCCCAAACAGGATCAATTAAGTGGTTTAGCTTTAAAAAGTTTCATGCTGGGCCGGGGCCATGGCTTAGCGGTTAAGTGCGTGCGCTCCGCACTCCGCTGCTGGCGGCCCGGGTTCGGATCCCGGGCGCGCACCGATGCACCGCTTCTCCGGCCATGCTGAGGCCCCGTCCCACATACAGCAACTAGAAGGATGTGCAGCTATGACATACAACTATCTACTGGGGCTTTGGGGGAAAAAATAAAAGTTTCATGCCCCTTGGCTAGTAGTTCCTTTTGCTTATCGAAAAGTCAGAATTTAAGAACTGGTGCTTGTTTTGTTCTGTCTGATCTTTTTTATTGCACTCTTCCTTAACTTTTAATTTTATATTTTATTAAAATACTTTGGGGGCCGGCCCGGTGGCGCAAGCGGTTAAGTGCACGCGCTCCGTTGTGGCGGCCTGGGGTTCGCCGGTTCAGATCCTGGGCGCGCACCGACGCACCGCTTGTGAAGCCATGCTGTGGCGGCAGCCCATATAAAGTAGAGGAAGATGGGCATGGATGTTAGCCCAGGGCCAGTCTTCCTCAACAACAAAAAAAAGAGGAGGATTGGGAGATGTTAGCTCAGGGCTGATCTTCCTCACAAACAAAAAAAGATTAGAGGAGAATTATATCCCAGTGATAGGTACTAGGAAAGATGGGTGACAGACATATTTTCTCCGTCATGGAACTTATATTTTAGTGAAGGAGGCAGACTAAAAAGTAGAAAAAAAATACTTATAAGATTAATAAATGCTATGAAAGAAATAAACCTAGCCTGAGAGAATATAATAGAAGGGACCTACCTGAGGTGGTGTGGTCAGAGAAAGCATGAAACTACCTAAGGGTAGAGAAGAAGCAAGCCTTGGGAAGGCTTGTGCTAAAAGGAGGGTAAGAGCCTTACAAGCATAGGGAGGAGCTTACACAAAGTCCTGAGGTGAGAAAGACAGTCTTTGTTGGGAGTGTGGTTCTTAAAGAAGTGGCTCATATAAGAAGAGTTTGGAGATATGATGGTCAAGGCAAAGAAATGGGATTTTATTTAAAGTGCAGTGGGTGCTGTGGAAGGAGTTTGAAGCAGGGGAGTGACCTGGGACTGTTACTATAATCCAGGTGTAAAATGATGACTGATGACATGTGTGTCATAGGTCATATAGATATCATATATAGTGACAGAGCTATGGCTTGGAGGTGCCTATTTTGATGTTTCTGATGGGGGAGGGAATGATGGGAGAAGAGAAAGGAAGAAACAAAGATGACTTGGTATATTTGTAACTTTTGAGTCCTGTAGGTTTATCTTATTAATTGCTTTCTGTATTTGTGGTATTCCTGTAGTGGATTTTAAATTTAACCCCCAAGAAGTATCGTGTCAGGTGGCTTTTTGTTGATTTTGAATGACCCTAAAGGATTCTCTTTCTGCATGTGTGTGTAATTTTTATATTACAAATAATTTGATAAACAGAAATCCTGTGGTGGTTTTCACCTCCATTTTATTTGAGTATAAACATTGTTAAGATTCTGTTTATTAAGTTACTTTTGTGTGTGTGTGTGTGTGTGTGTGTGAGGAAGATCAGCCCTGTGCTAACATCTGCCAATCCTCCTCTTTTTCCTGAGGAAGACTGGCCCTGGGCTAACATCTGTGCCCATGTTCCTCCACTTTATATGGGACACCGCCACAGCATGGCTTGACAAGCGGTGCATCGGTGCGTGCCTGGGATCTGAACCGGCGAACCCTGGGCCACCGTAGCGGAGCGCGCGCACTTAACTGCTTGCGCCACCCGGCCGGCCCCTTATTAAGTTACGTTTAGTATTCAGGTAAGCCCCAGTGTTTTTATTTGATAGAGCCTATTTCCAGTTTAACAACAGAAGGTTTCAGAAGGTTTCTGAGTGGATCGTTTAGATATGAAATATGTTTTCCCATGGTTTTGAAACTTGGAAAGGGTGTTTTGCGTAGCTTGCTTTGCTTATAAAATTTTCTGGTTCTAGCTTATGGAGTTATGTAAAGGCTAGGAGAAAACTTATGAGAAGTAAAAATTTTAAAACTGAGACAAGGTGACCCTTAGAGAAAATCTTGTTTTTTACTCAACAGACTTAGCACATCCCATGTACCTGGTAATATGGATCTAACATTGAATCAGCAGTCCCTGTCATGCTCTTGGGGAGCTTACTGGTTACTGAGATTTTTTAAAAGGCTGTTTCCATGCTATCTAATACGATAAAGTAGTGTGGGAGAAGGGAGAAAGGATGCTCCGCCTAACCTCAGCGCCCAGAGGAGGACCTTCACACTTGTGAAACAGAAACCAAGCCCTCCATGGACTAGAGGATATCACAGGCAGCACAGTCACACCTCCTCCCACATCCCCTGTGCCAAATATTTAAGGGAACTCAAATCTGGACTTTTATACTTAGGAGTAGGGGAGAAGGATTACCAGTAATTTTGATTAGCATAGAATTCAGCACCATAAATAGACCTTTGCCTTTCTTTCTTTCTTTCTTTCTTTTTTTTTTTGTGGGGAAGATCAGCCCTGAGCTAACGTCCATGTTAATCCTCCTGTTTTTGCTGAGGAAGACCAGCTCTGAGCTAACATCTATTGCCAGTCCTCCTTTTTTTCCCTAAAGCCCCAGTAGATAGTTGTATGTCATAGTTGCCCATCCTTCTAGTGCTGTATGTGGGACGCGGCCGCAGCATGGCCGGACAAGCGGTGCGTTGGTGCGCGCCCGAGATCCTAACCCGGGCAGCCAGTAGCGCTCGCACTTAACCGCTGGCCCTGCCTTTCTTATCAGTAATTTAAATGATC